CCTGCTGAAGTTCACCATTTTCAAGCTGCTTTACAGCAGTTTTCGATAGTAGATACCTTGGAAGCCAAACCTCTGCCAATTCCTGAAACTCCTATTTTTCAGGGGGGGGGAAAGGTAATAGAGGTTCCACTGCTCCATGTACCTGTACTTTATTTCTCCAAAGGAGATGATCAGTTTTTATTACTTAGTGTGTCAATCCAATATTTTTCATTAAAATACAAAAATAATTCCTTACCATTTTTTCCCCATAAGGTTTTCTTTGCTTGCTCAGCAGTAGGTGAGGTCCCCTCACATTTTGCCTTTTCTACCTGATCCTCACATCTGAGCACCCAAACCCCTCTTTGCCATCCTCAAAAAAAAAAGGGCAGGGTTTCTCCTTTCTCCCTTTAAGAGCTACAGAGCAATTAGGAGAAAGAAGAGCTGCAGGTGCTCTACAGCACAGCTGCACCTGGCAGCCCACTTTCAGCCAGTACACTCAAACTCCACCAATGTCTTCTATCTTCAGTGCTGTTCCAAGATTTCCTTCTCTATGTACCCAAGGGTAGTAGAAATCCTTTTTAAAAAGTAAAAGCCCTGGGAGAGTGAGAAAGGAACAACTAGAAAAACAGAAGAAACGAAAGCCCCTAAAGAGCTAAAGCTCACCTAAAGTTCACTTTAGGTTAGCTGCAGAGCCCTAGAGAAAGGCTAATTAACCAAGTGTTCCATAGCTACATGCAAGTAACCAATTTAAAGGCCACAAGGAACTACAGATTTTCACATACATCTTCCACAAATTACAGAACTGACCCAAATTGATCATTATGTTAAAACTCTACCTCTAATCTTTGCATCACGATGCAAGATTTAAAAACAGGCAGGCTGTACTTGCAGGTATTAAAATACCATACTCAAAGGGACGACGAACATGCGGTGGTCCAAGATCCAGAAAAAAAGGAAGTTATCTTAGAAATACCACACCTGTAACATACTGTAGCTAGTTTCAAAGACATTTTATCAGCCCCAAACTGATTTGCTTTAAGCAATCACGCTCCTAAAACTGAGCACCTCACAAGCGTATCAATAACTGTCGCTGTTCAGATTTGCAAATTATTAAGGCATACGCTTCACATCAATATATGTTCGACGCTACAGAAGTGAAGAGGAAAAAACAACTTTAACTGCGCTTTTTCAGCCGTTATTTTAAACCTCCTTTCCTTCTAAGAGTCCTAAAGAGAGAGCTTACCCTCCCTGCGCAGCCCGCAACTGCTCAGAAGTACCTCAGCCACAGGGGGGCGCACGAACATGAGCGGCTCAGGGCTGCCGAGGACGGCGAAAGAGGCGGTTGGGGGAACTGCGCCACGCCCAGGCGCGCGACCTAACGG